ATTTTGTTTATAATTCACATAGTTCCACTTGTGCTTGTAGAATTATTTGTATGCAGGAAATATACCAAAGTTTGGCCAAAATGGTGACAAATATGGACATATGGAGTAGTGGACATGGAAGGAGGCCTTGGGCCCACTTAGGCCCACCGCCTAGCCCCACTAGGGTGCCGCCCGACCCCTAGCTGGCCCTGCCATGTCACCGATCCGTGGGAGCTGCTCCTCAGCCAATCATAAGCTTCCATTCAAGGCGGTTTGATCAATGGACAAGATTTGTTCACAGTGGATTCATGGGCCCATTGTCATAGACTTGGGAGCTCCCCACCGACCTACCAACCACCTTACCGTCTGAATTTCAACATGTGCTGTCTTGGTAACCGCCTTTGAGAGCCAACCAGGGCCAGAGGATCAAGAGGCGGTGGATCCAAGGGCTGCCCGATGCTCCCCTGCCACCGCCCATCGCCTTAGGGTGGCCACCGATCTCCTAGCTACCTACAAATACCCCCCCCTCACTATACACTATAAATAGTGGGCATGGAGCTCGATGGAGAAGTGCCCCATTCATTTCCAAGCTCTCCAAGCTTCTCTTAGCTTTCAAGCTTAGCATTAGCTATAGAGTAGTAGTCTAGTAGTGGAGTAGAGCAAGAGTGGAGCTTCTTGGAGTCTAGAAGAGTCTTCTGGGTCTGGTATAGCTCCTTTGTAATTCTTTCATTTCTGCATTACTTTATTCATTATTTATTTCAGTACTTTATTCTAGTATTGCTTGCTTTACTTTAAGTACTTGGTCATTAGTGTTCATCATTAGTGAGCTTAGGTGCTTATTGTTTGGCATTAGTAGCATAGGTTATCTTATCATTAGTAGTCTTTCATTAGTACTAGTTTCACCATCCGGTTAGGGTGCTTTGATCTCATTTCATCGGAGCTCGGATCGAAGTAGTAAGTTTATAGATTAAGCGTGGTGCTTAGGCTATAGATTACCTATGGATACGGCTAGACCTCTAGATAGATTGTGGTAGGTGGCAAGTGGTGACGGCCTTCTCCATCCTCTGGATTCCACCATGATAGGTCTAGTTATTAAATCATGGGGCTCGTGGCAGACCATGTCTATTTAACTCTCCTAGTTGGTAGGCGGGCTATGCCCTGACGTACTATCACATTTCTCCTAGTTATTTGTTTACCCTTAGTCACTAGAAAGTTATATCGCTCGCTCTCCCACTAGCTATCTCTGGTTAGCTTATTAGTAGTAGTTAGTTTAGGTAGTTCACACTCATCCTTCGCTATTGTTCACCTAACTAGGATCAACTTAAGACCTACCTTTAACAAGTCCTAGTCCAATATAAATTCTAACCTTCCGCCTTCCTGTGGGAAAAAATATAAATTCAACACTCGGTACTCACCGAGCGAAGTGCTACGCGATAGTTCTGTGCACTTGCAGAATCCTCCAATAGTCATTAAGAAATATCAACAAGCATTTCTGGCGCCATTGATAATGAAGGCAATTGGCCTTAGATTTATATTGCTAGATTCACTAGCAAAGTTTTTAGTTATCCTAAGTAGTTTATCCTTTTTTCCTCATATCCTATCACTACCCTACACGATCATGGGCGACAAGTCCATTCGTGACTTTTCTGCACCCTCAGCTGCTAATGTAGCCACCGGACCCAATGTTATCATTAGCGACGCTAACTTTGAGCTTAAGCCAGCGTTAATTACGATGGTTCAAGCTAGTCCGTTATGTGGGAAAGCCCACGAGGATGCAAATGCTCACCTCCAACATTTGTTGGAGATTTGTAGCGCATTCACCATTAAGGGAGTGAGTCAAGAGGCTATACGTCTTTGCCTTTTCCCTTCTCTTTGTTAGGAAAGGTTAAGCAATGGTTTTATTCTAACCGCAACGCTGTAGATACCTAGGACAAGTGTTCCAACGCGTTCCTAGTCAAGTTTTTCCCTATGGGGAAGACTAATGCTCTACGCAACAAAATCACTAGTTTTCAACAACTAGTAGATGAGTCAATTCCCGAGGCTTGGGAACGAATGCAAGATTATGTCTCTACATGCCCACACCATGGTATGGAATACTGGCTTTTGATCTAGAACTTCTACCATGGATTAGTGTCGTTAGATAGGAGCCATTTAGATGCTACTGGTGGTGGTGCATTCTTTTCGCTAAGTGTTGCAGATGCAAAGACACTGATCGAGAAGATGGTCTTCAACCAAGGATGGAGCGACGATTGACTCCAACCCTGTAAACGAGGTATGCATTCAATTAAAGAAATTGACATGCTTGCAGCTAAGATGGATCTGCTCGAGAAGTGAGTGGAACATTATGATAAGGTGAGTGCCCAAGAGACACTCAAAGCCATTGATTCCCACATGACTGTGAAGTCTGTGGAGATGTTGGACATTCGGGCAATTCATGTCCCAAAACCCAAGAGGACCTCAACTTCGTCAGCACCGACAATGGGTTCCATCCACAACATCAAGGATGGAATCAGCGCTCCAACAACTAGGGAGGTAACAATTATTACTCTTCATCTTATTTGAATAATCAAGGTAATAATAGTTATGCTTTCTTGAAAGATCTTATTTATAGCAATGGTAGAATGACTGATAGTATAAATAAGAAACTACATGCTCATGACAATATGTTGGAAAATATAAATGCTAAATTGGATGAATTTTCTTCTGTCTTAAAGAATCAACTTAGCTTTAATAAGATGATAGAAACCCAGTTAGCTCAAATTGCTGCTGCTATCCCAAACTATGAAAAAGATAGAATTCCTGGCAAACCTGAAGGAACCATGGAGATAGCCAACCTTGTTACGGCAAGGTATGACTTCTCTGAGAATGGTTGGGGATTTCTCTGAGAAAGGTATGACTTTTCATAATGCCATTTGTGATCTAGGGTCTAGTATTAACATCATGTCTAGGGAAACTTATGATAGATTGTTTTATACTCCCCTAGCTTCAACCTCAGTTTACTTGCAATTAGCCGATCAATCCATCTATTATCTCAAGGGAGTAGCCACTGATTTACTAGTTAAAGTTCAGAGTGCTTATGTTCCTATAGATTTTATGATCTTAGACATAGGTAACGCCGAGGGTACACCTTTAATCCTTGGTCGTCCTTTCATTAATACTGCAAACGCTTGCATATATGTGGCTTCTGGGCAAATCCAATTCTGCTTTGCTAGAAGAAAAGAAATATTTGCTTTTGGCTCTGGACAACCCCTCTTTGATCAGAAACAGGAAAAGAAGAAGCATCGAAAGAGAATCAAGATGAAGAAACCAAAGCCGATTGAAGAGCTGGAGAAACCTATCAAGAAGAAGAAGAATAGAAAGAGATGGCGTAAAAAGAAAGATCTATCCTCAAACTCATCATCCCTTGATGCTGATCTTGACAAGGCCTCCGAGGTGGAACAAGAGGAAACACTTCTGCCCAAGGACGAATGACCTTGAGCCCGACAAAAAGGTAAGTTTTCAATTCCTTGCATTTATTTACTACATTTCATTAGTTGCATCTCATTTAGATTTACAATAAAGTTGTTTTTATATTGCATGATAAGTTAGTTGCATTTAGCTACTCTATGTTAATAAATAAAGTTCTATAGTAGCTAATGCCTGATAGAATAGATATGCATTTAAAGCAACATATGAAAAAATATTTAGTAATAATGAATAAAATTCTGTAGCATCCTTGCTGAATAAGTTATCTAGTAGTTATAGGTTTAGCTAGTTATTTATGCATCCTAGTAGTATTAGTTAGTCAATAAAGAAAAGAATCAAAAGAGCTGCCAGAAGACATTCCAACCTATGCAAAAGGCAAGCTTGGGGGAGACGTCTCTCCCTGCTCTGGTATGAAAATCTTAAACCCTCTCTTTACATTCATGTTTGCTTTATATTTCAATATTTATGATAATAGAATGTAGTGAGGAGTGCCTTTAAATTATTTTGAGAGAAACTCTACTCTAATAAAATAATGATAAATTATTTGGAGCTGATGAATAGTTGCTCTATGATACTTTGCAAAAGCTTGGCATACAACCTTATACTTCTTAATAAACTTAGAGTTCATCCTAAGTTGAATGCTTTCGTGGGTTGCAAATGCTAGAACCAAGAATAGGCTTTTGTGAGATATGTTGTAGCCATGATTAGAGTAAATCTTTGAACCTATCTGAGGAATGGTAAAGACAACCTGGAGTTTTGTTTCGCAAAATGCTAAACTCTCTTGCTAGAAGTTCCTCAATGGTGATAAATTCCTACCAGATCCAAATAAACATCCACTCATACATGATAAAGCCACCATAAAACACTACAAGAAATATAAAGATCTATGACAAATTTTTTTTGACGATGAGTCAATTCGTCAATAAGTCATTCTGTTTTATGACGACTTTCAAGAGGAGAATGACTTTTTGATGAAAATAATGTGTTCGTCTTTAAGGCACAATAAAAATTGTCATAACCTAGAGAAGTAGTTTGTTTATGATGATCTATGTTCTGTCATAACATGCTACCTTGCGGTCGTCATAAATTATTGACAATATTAGTTTGTTATAACTTTTTATTTACATATAATAAATGAGATATTTGGTCCCATTGTAGTGAAAAACAACACCTTGGATGTCTTTTTTTGGGAAGAAAAGCTAATAATTGATTGGTGCAGGATTTGGGCAATGGGCGCCAGATTTTGGTTGAGGCGCCAAGATTTGGGCTAGAGGCGCCTAGACCCAAAAAATTTAGGATGCAATGACCTTTCTATCCAAACATTCCTAGGATATTCAACGCTGTATCAAAGGGCATCTTTCAGTACCTCCCGCATGGTAGCCCATTAGAAGCATGCCTCATAAGAATCTTTGTGGTGACGGTCGAAGCCTCCTCACTCAACTTCTGAATCAAACCACCTTCCAGCTTCGTACTACTACTACCTCCTAGATCGTCATTCTTTCCATTACTCCTTTTGATCTACCTTACTTACAGTTGATCTTATTGGGGCTTTAACCATGCCATTTGATAGTCTAGATCTTGATGGTACAACGGGTAAGACTGAAGAGGTGGGTGAAAAGTACCCATTATATAGGTGGAGGCAAGATATGCTTGGTTTCCCACTCACTGCCCTTCTCATCTCCACTCCGCACTCGCACCCCTCCCTCTCTGTCCCATCCCCCACGCCGCACTCGCCATCCTCTCCATAGCCGATGAGCCCACTGTTCCAAATCTCGAGCTGACGACATGCCCTGCTCCAACATCTGCAGCGTCCTCCTTCACTCCACCTGTGAACACGATGCCTCCTACACGGAAGTTGGCAGCAAGCAGACGACAACCAGCAGGTAAAATCATAAGATTTCTTGGATCTTAGCATAGGGTTCTTGTCGGGGATTAAATAGGCTCTGCACGTAGGTGATGTAGAACTGCTGTAGTCAAAATCCGAGGGTAGCCCTATAGGGAAACTGGGGCGGCCGCCCCAGCTACTAGCTACCGAGCCATAGGAGAAATCTCTCCTTTTCTCCCTCAAATCCATGACTGGTAGCGAGTCTTGACGCATATCTGAAGAAGCAGAGGCAACGGTGACTTCAGGTCTAGCAAGATCTTAGCTAGCAGCATGGTTTGGAACTTGACTTACATTGTCATTAGGTTGCTGATTATGTGTTTTTAAAGTTAAAAAGCTTGGTTCCTGTTATGTGGCAAGCTATTCTTTTTAGTAGTACCTTAGCAGAATGAATTCATCTATATATTAAGTCCTGGCAAGTGCTTTTCAAGTTTAGAGCCTGGTTCTAGTTCTGTAGCAAATATTTCATAGTATTGTAGTAATGTAGTTTGATCCTCAAAGAATCAGTTGATTTTTAGACCTTTATCATGCTCTAATGTTTTTTTGTTACCTAGCGTGTTGTTTTACCTATGCAGTCCTTCGAATGTGTAAAGGACTGACATAGCTTCAAGCTGCATTTTCATTGATAGGCGCCATTTCTAATAGGAAATATATCTTTGATGAGACTATTGATGTTGATCCATTTTCCTGCATTCACAGAGTCGCCAGCCAGTGCATGTTAAAGAGTAAGGGCTGAAATGATCATGAGAAACAATCGTGTGTTTCAGTCCCTTGGTATTAATGCAACAAAGGACATTTTGAACAAGACCACTGCAGCTAAGAAGGCTATGGCTTGTGAAAACTCTGGTTCATTGTATGACCCTAGAGATAGTGCTGGCAGTGAAGAGAGTGTAGTTGATAAGGTATTTGTTGAACTCAGGTTCTTTGTATGACTCTGGTTCAGTATGCAAAAAAGATTAATCTTGATTTCTATTTTCTTGTGTTATGCATATGAGGTTATGCAGGTTTCACAGAATGTGCCTTGCGACACCATCATTGCTAATGAAGGAGCAAGAGGTTCAAAGAGAGTGCGAGCACCTGATGAACAAGGCCAAATCAACCTCCTAGAGTGACTAGGAAGAGGACAAAGGAACTGATTCGAAGCGAGGAAGGCGTCCATGCTGCAACTACAACTATACAAGAAGATGCATTGACTATTGCCAATTGTCTTAACCAAACTAACCATGATTCAGAAATGCACAAAGAAGGCAAGAAAGCAATACTCCTTTCTCCAAGAATATGGTTTACACATTTGCATATTAAAATGATTTGCACTAGCTATTTAACAATGCCACTTATTTCTAGGTCTATCAAATCAAACTGTAGATCGATGGAATAAAGGAGAAAGCATGGGTAGAGACTTGGATCGCATAAGACCAGGCTTAAACACTAGGATTGCGGTGGTCATTGCTAAAGGGAAGAAATGACCTGAGCCGCCTATGCAAGCTACAAAGTTGGCATCAAGGGGGGGATTATACTGAGGCAACATATCCCAATCTTTACACACTGGAAGGAGTACAAGGTTATCAAGAACAAGGATATTCTTCCAGGCTGCATGGGCAAAATTTCTATAAGTGGATAAACGCTATATGTTCAGTTTTTATCGGGTGTGCATGATATATGTTTACTCCTATATATGAGTAATATTTTTCTACCTCCAGTAGCATATGACAAGGAGCTTAACTGTTAACATTATGCTAGGACTGCCAATATATTTTCTGCCTCAATCTTTACATGTTCTTTTATTCCAATTGATGTTGTAATGATCCGTTTAACTTACATCAGCTGTAAGCACCACCATAAAGTTTATCTGTAGTATTATCTACTTGAAATGTTTGGCATGTTTGTTTATTTTGAGTGCCACTGCCAATATATAGTAAACTAAAATGAAGCGGAAAGCAGGAAAGTATGTTCTCTATTTCTCACCACATTCTGAAAATTTAGAACCTTCTATAAACATTTTGTCCCTGCTACTTTTCTATTGGCTACCAATTTAGAACCTTGTGCTCTTGCCTACTGTTGCATTGTGATTTTCTAAAGTTTCCTATCAGGTTAATGTTACAAATTTTCTATCACATTATATACTTCTAACACCTATTTTCTGATGCACATGCCCTTGACATGTTGTTGACTAGAATTAATTAGCAATTGATACTGACAGCAAGCCAGTCAAAGAGGCATGTGCTGATTTGCTTGGGACTGGAACATGGCAAATGAGGTACAATTTGAAGAAGCTTTACTTCAATGGTGTACCAGCAGACAAAGTTAGAACAACATCACCATTGAAGAGTATGACTGATGATCAATGGAGAGCCGATAGAGATGTGGTCAAGCCTAAAGCACAAGGCATGTTGGTATATTGCTTTCTTAAGCCATTTATTTTTCTTGCATTGGTTTGTTGCATGTTTGAGTTTATTTCTTCGTATTGTACACCATTTTGATTATGTCTAAGATTCTGTAGCTATGCTATATTGGACTGTATACAGTAGGCCATCCTTACAATTATACCTAAAGTTGCTTGGCTTGTTACCCTGATAATTGTGTGCTCATTAGATATTAATGAGTATATTGGGCTACACTCAATACAACTGCAGCTCATTATATTTTAGTGACAACATATAGGGTTGTGTTGCAGTTGGTCTTCCAGAATAGGGCACAATCTTTGGTTGTGATTACTTTCTATTTTTCAAACTGTTTTAGGTTAATAACTTGTTGTGGACATAAATTCAACTACACTTAAAGTGTGTTGATGTTTGTTGAATATCTTAGCAAATCTGGTTTCAAATTCATCTAATTTTTATCTCTCTCTATAGCCATTCTTCCCTGCTTACTAAATTGTTCCTCACAGGACAAGTGTGCAAAAAAATGCACTTAACCATGAGAAAGTAAGGTTTCATCAGATGACAGGATCTCAGTGCTATATTGCAACAACCCATGCCTTGGTAAGATATGGAAACATTGTGTTACAATCATTCATCATTGAACAACTATTCTTATAATCTTACACCTACAAAATGTTTGTGAATAATTTTAGAAGCAAGAGAAATATAAAGATGAACCACCCAGTGCGATAGATCTTTTCAAGGCGCTACATTGCAACAGCAAGACTAGGTTTAATGAGTCTACAAAGGAAGCTATTGTAAGTACAAGCTCCATTTTGAACTATATATAGCTCTGAACAAATGTTACTGGTTTTAGTTGAGTCTGTAATGTGTACATGCTTCCTGTTGTTACTTGTGAGACATAGAACAACAACTTGTTCATGTGTAGCAGCAACTTCCTGTTCATGTGTAGCATCAACTTGTACATGCTTCCTACGCTTCCAAGGAACAATGACAATTGTTGCATGTGTAGCAGCAGCTTATTCATGCTATTCTGGCAAGATTGTACTGCATGATGTCACTGCTGTCCAAAAACTCTCTTAATAGCACATGTAAACTTGTAGACACTGCCAAAATAGAAATATTCCCAGATTCCCAACCTATACTGTAATGAGTCATCATCCCAAACTATAGTGTAATAGTTTGTAGCATAAATGATCTCACTATATTGAATCAGGAAGAGTCATCTATGTCATGCTCAATTATGGTAAAATAATCAGTTGGAAAAATGTTTTCATGCTTTAAATGACCTTTAATGTGAACCTTGATTGTACATCTATTTTACAAAGCCTGCATTTACTTATTTGAGCAACACTACTATCAATTATGACCACCTTTCTATTGGTTTTAAATATATTAGTTGGTAATTAATTTCATAATTGTCTTACTGATATGTTGATGTTTTTAGGTTGAAATGGAATCCATCGCTGCTGTACCTATAGAAGACGGCCAAGTTTCAAAGACCCCTGTTGAAGTTGTTGCTCAAGTGTTGCCGAAATCAAAATTTCTTCAAAATATTGGCCTTTAGCTAGCAGCCCCCAAGAGAAGCTCCAAAGCCATTAATGATGCACGGATTATAGAACTTGAAGCAGAAGTTGCAGCTGGAAAGCAAGACAAAGAAGAACTAAAATGATGAGATGGAGACTTTGAAGAAGAAGGTGGAGGAATCAGAAAATGAAAGACGCAAGCTGTTAGAAGAGATAGAGCAGTTGAAGAAGGCACAAGATGAGTTGAAGAAGGCACAAGACGAGACGAATGCTTTCTTTTGTCGCATGTTCAGCAAAGAGTAAGGCTATTCGTTTAACTCTATAAGTTTGCATATGCATATAGTTGGACGTCTGATTTTGGAACTTGGCTACTCAGACCATATTATTTTATGCTACAAACATTTGGTAGTGCTGTTATTTTGAGACATGTCTGATCTGGTTTAGACCATATTAATTTCTGCTATGTATCTTGTTAGTGTTGTCTTTTTGCTATGTGGAAATGTGTTATCTAGGATTTGTAAAATTACTGATGGATGTGACCATATTTATCTATCCTTTGGAATGAGATCTGGATGATCGATGAATGTGTATGGGTTGTGATGCATCTATGGATTATATATGTGAATGAGATTCTTGATGATTTGATGAATGCGTAAGGGCTTTGATTGATGAATGTATAGATTATATATGGGCTATTATGTAATGGATGCCGAAATGGGCTGTTATGTAATGGACGCCGAAATGGGCTGTTATGTAATGGAAGTTGAAATGAGCTCATTATGTATGGATGCTGAAAAGGTTGTTTTCTCTACATGTTTAAATGGGCTAGGCCTTTTCTAGCCCACTAAATAAATAGGCCGCAAAAAAAATTGGCCCAGAAATTGATATTAATTTTACTTATATAAATGGGCTTTGCAAATTATAAATTTGGCTCACAATTATATTTGGTCCAATAAAAACCTAGCTAGGCCTTAAGATATTTAGTGATGACTTTTTAATCGGGTCGTCATAAAAAAATATGATGAAAATATATGCAGTCGTCATAGAACAAGGTTTACCACGCATGATCTATGACAAATGGTTTATTGTCATGCAGTCGTCATAAATACATCTGCTATGACAAAAATACTAGAAATAATGATGATAACAAGTCATCATAGATCCTAAGATTTCTTGTAGTGAAAGCTGCTTGTTTGCTTTGAGCTTTTTTAAGCCTTGTTGATCTGAGTAGAGAAACTTTGCATGCCTTTTGATCAAGATCACATACACCCACATATTTATGCTATTCCTACATTGGGGATACGCATCCACATATGCATTCCATTCATTATTGATCTATGAGAATGGAAGTTACCTCTCTATGCTGTCTTACATCAAAAGAGAGGCATGGGCTACAGAAAAAATATTGAGAGAGAATAAAAGAACAAAAAGCTCTAGTGTTTAAAAGAGAGAGAGAGAGAGAGAGAGAAAAGAAAAGTAGCCATGCCCTCTCAAAAAGAAGCTAGAGAAGGGAAACTTCTCAAAGGAGTACCACTTCCACCAAATGTAACATACACATGCACATCTTGATCAATTTGTATGATTTGTTCCTCCTTGTGATCCAAGTGTTGGACTTAGCAATAGATTCAATTCAAGTAAGCTATCCTTTTACCCCTACCTTAAGCTCCACATAAACTTTAGGATAGAAATTAAGGCTAAAATTCATGGCCTTGGTGAGGATTTCAAACACCATTGAGTGACTTGAGTGTACCATCTGAGAAACTTAGGCAAGTTTTCTTTTCAAATCATGTGAAAACCTCCAAGAAGTTTGAGCTAAACCAAAGTAGGCAAAAAGTATCTATCTAGATACACATTATTGCAACTGCTTATATCAAGGTGAAAGCTATAAGTCCCACATTGCTAAGACTAATGGTGAAATTTCTAAGTGCTAACATGTTCAACTCAATAGATAGTATTTGTTTGTATACAAGTCTTTGCAAGACGTTACATAGTAGCAACTCCTGATCCAACAACCTATTCCATGCTAAACCTGCATCTTTGCTGAGGACAGCAAAGGGGTAGCATGGGGGAGCTTGTTGACGGTCACTAACACCTATTTTGACCATCAGCATTTCAGCCAAAAGCATAGTAAAGTGAGGTAAATCATCATCACATGTGAAGAATTTTGTTTATAATTCACCTAGTTCCACTTGTGCATGTAGAATT